ACCCAGGACAGACCACAGCCTGAGGATTGCCTAAGCTGACAAAAGCCACAGAAAGAGGAATCTGGACGACTCTGAGGTCACTTCTGCAGATGACCCAAGTGAAGTGCCTGTCCCCGCTTGACACCCCAGCTACATCACCCCATGAGGTACGTTGTAAGCAGAGACCAGGGCTGGGCCAGGCTGAAGCTGGGAGCCAGGAGCTCCATCCAGGTCTCCGACGTGGGTGGCAGGGGCCCAGGCACTTGAGCCACCACGGCTGCCTCCCAGGGTGCACATGCACAGGGAGCTGGGTCAGAAATGGAGCCAGGATTCAAAGCCAGGCTCTCTGGCACCAGGTGCAGGGGTCCCATGTGGCCAAAAGCCTGCTGGGGCTCTCCCAGATTTCTGCACCTGCTCGTCTCTGATTCTGCTCAGGTTTCACGTGTTAAGCGGGGGAGGAGACTGTCACAGGGTGGATGGCAGCTTGTGGGAGCCCAGTCCTCTTTGCAGAGAGTCTTGCTAGGCCACAGCTGGGAGCGCCGTGACGTGGGTGTGCTGCGGTTGGGATGTCTGAGCCAGACAGCCCCGCCCACCGTGGCGTCACCTGCATCACCCTCCCAGCACCCGTCCCAGTGGGAGTCACACCTCTGGGCTCAGCAGTGAGGGTGAGCTGAGGCTCTGCTTTCCCTGCCCTTTGCGAGGGGGGTGGGTCTCAAGGGAGAGACTCCGCAGGGAGATGTTGAAGGGGACAGCACCTCTGTCTCCACCTGGGGGCCCCTCTTCTGCCCCTGAGGTCAAGTGAGCTGCCACCTCCTCCAGGAAGTGTGTCTTGATCTAGCAGAGATCATCCACAGGAGTGGGTTTCGTGGGCTAGTGGCAGACAAGCAGGTCCCATGTCAGAGCCATTCCTGGCTCCCTGCTGGTGCAGACCCTGGTGGGCAGCAGTGAGGGTTCAAGTCCTTGGGCCCCTGCCACCCACATGGGAGACCCGGATGGAGGTCCTGGCTCCTGGCTTTGACCTGGCCCAGCCCTGGCTGTTGTGGCCATTTGGGCAGTGGACCAGTGGCTGGGAGCTCTCTTTGCTTCTTGCTCTCAAATTTAAGAAATTTATGGGGTCAGCACTGTGGCATAGAAGGTAAAGCCACTGCCTGCAGTGCTGGCATCCCATATGGATGCCGGTTCGAGTCCCGGCTGCTGCACTTCTGATCCAGCTCTCTGCTATGGCCTGGGAAAGCAGTAGAAGATGGCCCAAGTCCTTGGGCCCCTGCACCCATGTGGGAGACCTGGAAGAGGCTCCTGGCTCCTGATTGGCACAGCTCTGGCCATTGCAGCCGGTTGGGGAGTGAACTAGTGGATGGAAAACCTCTCTCTCTGCCTCTCCCCTCTCTTTCTAACTCTGACTTTCAGATAAATAAATCAATCTTTAAAAAAATTTAAGAAATTCAAATCATCTCCCGTTGCTGTGGATTGGTTCTGAGATGAGGAGCGTGGTGGGGGCAAGAGGTGTGAAGTCACCACACAGACCCTGGGAGTCGGGTGAAAGTGGGCCAGAGGTGAGCAGCCTGCAGACTCCTTTATTTCAGTTGGTACAACAGCTTATATAGCCAAGGCAGCCAATCCGGTCAAGGGGCGGTTTATGCCCCAACCAATCACAGCCTGTTGCCAGGCAGGCTCCGTTGCCAGGTGGGTTTCAAAGCCATTCCTGAGTAACTGATGCTGGCTTGCCAGTGGCCATCTTAGCATGGTCTTCTCGTTCCACCACATTTCCCCCTTTTCGTTTATTTTTGAGCATCGGGAGGCATGATTCTTGGCCATACCATTGTTGACCCCGTTTTCATGTGGTCTCCGTACGCAGCTGTGCCTGTCTTAGGTTGTCCCCCAGGGGATCTTACCCGTCGTTGACTAACCAGTGCTCAAATCGAGAGACCACAGGATTGCTTGCTCAGATAGGGGTAAGAATGAGGAATAATGGTTATCAGGAATGGCATGACCGCACACAGGCTGTGGGCCGTTTGAGTGGCTGACCAGAGCTAGTGGGGTACAAAACAGTAACAGCTATGGCTATGGGCAGTTTCTCAAGGCAGGATGATAGGGCAGGTGCATCTGCTAAGAAGGTGGACTCTCAGTCTTGTTCAGCTGGTTCTGGTTGGCTGTCAGTTGCAGGCTTGATGTTTCTGGCTGGTACCCAAATGGGCTGTCCCACATTTTCTGGAAAGACACAAGCATACCCTCGACCCTTGGTTAGCAGAAGCCTTTCTAAGGGTGTTGGAATCCAGGGCCTGAATTCTGTGTCCACTTAGAGATTAACGGCAAACATGTAGGTGGGATGGGGTCTAGCAGCTGCCCTGAGAGCCTGGGGTGTCTGAGTACTGCCACAAATGTGGGGACCCTCACTGGGTGCAGATGGGATGACCTCGCATGGGTTATTGTCTCGAAGTCCTCTAAATTCATCCCACGGGTGTGTGTGGGGTGGCTGACTAGGCATTGCTACCTTGTTTGCTGCATTGTTTGCTACTTTGTTTGCTACATTGTCATTTTCACTGTCCGAGCTCTCTCTCCCTAAGTCATCAACTGTTGTCTGTGAGACAGGGGCATGGAGTGTCAGGCTATTACCACTCACAGATCCACTATGTTTGATAATCTGCACGGGATTCTGAGAGGGGGGTATCTTTCCCATGTCTGAGCATTTAAGAGCGGCACGGCACGCCAACTCTAGCCAGAGGAAAGGCCCCCACAGCACTGCTGCCATAACAAAGCAAATTCCTAGCACCTCAGCGGCTGATGGCATTCTGCAGGGGTTTCCCTACGTTAGACAGACAGATAGTGGTGTATCAGGTCGTACGTATGTCCTGTGCTTAGTGGGGGACTTCCTTGATTCGTTAGGTCAAGGCCCTATGCCCACACGGTGTCTTCGGGGCGTCACCTCTCTCGAGTGAGGGAAGATGACTTGGTTCCGAATTCTGGGGTGATCAGTCCCTTGTGTGAATTTGCCGGGCGAACCGAAAGTAAAAGGAGGAGCCGAGAAGCGACGTACGCCTCAGGGTGGTGTGTGCCTAACCTGGGGTCACTTAGACCGAGGGCAAGGACAAGGAAAAGGGCATAGGAGGGGGTTCTGTGCTCACCCTCACAGAACCAAACAGCACACAAAACACCGAGGGGCCTTCTTGCCGAAATCAAGGGGGACCTCGCCAAGTCCGACATGCTGTCTCTCTCTCGTCACGTTGGCGCCAGATGTTGAGGTTGATTTGTTCTGAGAGGAGGAGCATGGTGGGGGCAAGAGGCACAGAGTCACCACACAGACCCCGGGAGTCAGGTGAAAGTGGGGCAGAGGCGAGCAGCCTGCAGACTCGTTAATTTCAGTTGGTACAACAGCTTATATAGCCAAGACAGCCAATCCGGTCAAGGGGCAGTTTATGCCCCAACCAATCACAGCCTGTTGCCAGGCAAGGCTCCGTTTGCCCTGTGGTTTCCAAAGCCATCCAATCACAGCCTGTTGCCAGGCAGGCTCCGTTGCCAGGTGGGTTTCAAAGCCATTCCTGAGTAACTGATGCTGGCTTGCCAGGGGCCATCCTGGCATGGCCTTCTCGTTCCACCACAATCTCCTTCCCTCAAGATCCCTGTAACACATCCCCAATCCCCCAGTGTCAACTTTTTAAAAAAGATTTATTTATTTGAAAGGCAAAGTGACGCACAGAGGGAGATAGGTAGAATATATCATATATATATGAATATATATATATGATATATAGGATTCATCTGTAGTGATATAGGTAGATATCTTCAATCCATTGGTTCACTCCCAAATGCTGACAACAGCCAGGAGCCAGGAGCTCCATCGGGGTCTCCCATGTGGGTGGCAGGCACCCAAGCACTTGAGCCCTCACTGCTGCCTCCCAGGGTAGACATTGGCAGGGAGCTGGGTGGGAAGCCGAGTAGCCAGGATTGCAATGTGGGACGCGGGCATCAAAGAGCCACAGTGCCAGCCACAGATTTGCTTTCAGCAAATGCGTATCTTAGCTGCTTTCCACTCTCAGGGTTGGGCTGCGTGGCTTCAGTCATGGCTGAGCCTTGGTGGGGGTGGCCCTCCTGGGTTCTGCTTCCTACCAGTCATCCGGGGGTCTCTGCTGTGGTCTCCAGGGGGCCTTTACTTGGGAGGAGGTGTGAGCAGAGACATGAATGGTGAGCTGGTGTCCATGTCTGGGGAAAGAACCTCCCAGATGGGGGCCAGCAGGTGCAACGGAGCCAAGAGGGCATGAAGGCGTGGGCCGTGGGACTTGAGTGGGACCAGGACGTTTCTGGAGAGCTCGGTCCAGCCCCTGCTGGCTGGGCCTCCCCCACCCTTGATGGTGGGGCTGAGCTGGGGAGCAGCAGTAGGTGACAGCGATAAGGGCCAGGCTGCTGTGCCATTTCACATTTTGTTCCGTTCCGGTTATGCCAGCTCCCATTCACGACTGCTTTCTGCCTCGTTCCCCAGGGAGCCCCAACCCAAGATGTAGCATGGGGCTGGCATCTCCAGGTACTTGTTGAGTCAAACCCCCCCCACCCCACCCTCAATTGCACAGGCTGCTGCGGGGGTGGGGGGCTGCCATGACTCCCCTCCTGCTGCCAGACACATTCTAGTGGGAAAGGTGCGGGCCAGTGTCTACCCCCTGGGGCACCCAGGGAGGTCAGGCTGTGCTCACAGCCCAGGGCTTTCCCAGGGCTGCTGGGCTCTCCATTGGGGAGGTTCCTCTTTTGGGGCTGCCTGGCCTCTCTGCACCCTATCTGCTCCACCCCCCGCTGGGCCACAGCAGACGGGAAATCCGAGTTTCCTTCGACAGGCGCAAGAGCGGCCTTGTCCTAAGTGGGGAATTTCTATACCTGGACTCCCCAGCCTTCTGCTTGTGGGGTCTCCAGGGACTGCTGACGGGAAGCATTCAGGGAGTGGGTGGGGGTGGGCCAGGGAAGGCTGCGGCGGTGGGGGGGTCCCAGGGAAGGTGATGTGGGTGTGGGGCTGGCCTGGCCTTTAGTTCCACTGGGGACAGGCAGTTGGGGTCTGACTGTTCTGGGCCTCCCTGCAGAAGTCATGGGTTTGGGGGAGTCTCAGTGTCTGGTGGAGGTTGGGGTACAAAGGAGAAAAGAGGGAGAGAGAGAGAGAGAGCGAGCTAGAGACACAGGGAGAGACAGAGAGAGAGTATGTGTCATAAAGAGGTGGAGAGGGGCTGGCACTGTGGTGTAGAGGGTAAAGCCACTGCCTGCAGTGCTGGCATCCCAAATGGACGCCAGTTTGAGTCCCGGCTGCTCCACTTCCGACTATGGCCTGGGAAAGCAGTAGAAGGTGGCCCAAGTGCTTGGGCCCTTGCACCCTCCTGGGAGACCCAGAGGAAACTCCTGGCTCCTGGCTTTGGTTCGGCCCAGCTCTGGCGTTCGTGATCATCTGGGGAGTGAACAAGTGGATGGAAGAGTTCCCTCTCTCTGCCTCTCTGTAATTCTTTCAAATAAAGAAATAAATCTGAAAGAAAGAAAGAAAGAGATGGAGAGAGCCTGCCAGAGAGGAGAGATAGAGAGCCAAAAACGGAGAGAGACAGAGATAGAGAAAGTCAGAGAGAGATGGAGAGAGAGAGCCAGAGATGTAGAGAGACAGTAGAGAGAGCGAGAGAGCCAGAGACACACAGAGACAGAGAAAGCCAGAGAGAGAGAGCGAGAGAGAGAGCGAGCGAGCCAGAGATGCAGAGAGACAGCAGAGAGCGAGCCAGCCAGGGAGACAGGGACAGAGATGGAGAGACAAGAGGGGCCGGCGGCAGAGCGAGCCGCCCGCGGAGACAGGCGGACGAGGAGGTGCAGGGCAGGAGGCTGCGGGTGGGATGAGCCGCCGACCGGCTCGAGGCGGCCGGAGTCAGACAAACTGGAAATCAAAGGGCCGAGCGGGAACCCAAAGAGCCGGCGCGCGGGGAGGAAGGTCCCTAGGGGCGGCGCCGAGGTCCCCGGCCCGGCCCCCCGGAAAGCCGCCTTCCGGGACAGCATAAAACGAGGCGCGCCGCCCGGGGCCGCAGTCCCCGCGCCAGCCATGAGCCACTGCCCAGCCGCCGCTCCGGACCCCGAGGCCCCGTGGCCGCCCGCGCCCCCGGCCCGCGCCTGCCGCCCGCTGCCCTGGGCGCTGGGCGCCGCGCTGCTGCTGCTGGCCGCCACCTGCGCCGCCTGCGTCGCCCGCACCTGGGCCGCGCCCGGCCCGGCCCCCGGCCCCTCGCGCAGCCCGGGACTCGGCCACGACCCGGAGCCCGCGCCCGACGCCCGCGCCGGGCTCCGCGACTCCCCGCGGCAGGTGAGACGCGCCCTTCCCCAGCCCGGGCCCCGACGGCCGCTTCGAGGGCCCCGCCTCCGCCCGCGGAGAGCCTCGTTTTCCTGCGAAGCCAGCGGGGAGACCCCTCTTCCCTGCCCGGGACCCGGCTCCACTGCCAGGCGCCTGGCGGTCTCTCCGCTCCCCTCGGAGAATTCCTGCTGGGCCGTCAGCTCCGTGCGCGCTCCTAACGCGTTGTGGGGGCGCGGGGCCACGGGACCCCCCACTCATTTCGCTCTTTCCCGCCTCTTTGCAGGGCCAGTTCGCGCAGCTGGTGGCCCGGAGTGGTGAGTGAGCGGCCGGCGCCCCCGCCCTGGGGAGGGCCTGAGAGGCGGGGGGGGGGGGGGGGGGAGGGGAGGGGGCGTCCCTGGACAGCGAGGACCAATCCGCCCCTCCCGTTCCGAACCAGGCCGTTTCACCTCCTGGATCCCCTGCCCGCTGCCCTCACTTCCGCAACTCCAGCCCCAAGACCCGAGCCCTCCTCCCGGCCCGCCTTCCAAAGACCCCTCCTCCCCCGCTACCCTTCTAAACCTCCCCCTCCCATCCTTCTTCCCCCTTCTGGAACCTCTTCTCCCCTCCCCCGCGAGGACTCAGTCCCCCCACCCAGGTCTCTAACTCACCATCCCCTCCCTTTCCTCACCCCAGCTTGCCCCACCCCTCTCCAAAGCCCCTTGTTCTCCTCCCCAATTTCTCGCCTTCCCCTCTCCCCATCCCTCCCCCTGTCCAACTCCTCCTCCCTCCCCCTTCCAACTCCCTCCTCCCCTCCCCTCTCCACCCCATCCTGACACCACCCCCCCACTCCAGGAGTCCCTGTCCCCCCTCCCAGCCGCCTTCCTCCCCCTGCCTTCCTGCATGGCTCTCCCCTCCCCCACTCCCCGTGCCCCCTCCCCCGGGCTGCGATCCACCGGGCGCCGCCCCTTGGCTCAGCACCTCCTCCCTCCTCCCGCAGTGCTGCTGGACGACGGGACCCTGAGCTGGCACAGCGACCCCGCCCTGGCGGGAGTGTCGCTGTCCCCGGGCCTGAGTTATGACGAGGACACGCGCGAGGTGGTGGTGGCCGAGGCCGGCGTCTACTACATCTTCTTGCACCTGGAGCTGCGACGCGTGGTGGCGCGCCAGGGCTCGGGCTCCGTCGCGCTGTCGGTGCACCTGCGGCCGGAGCGCAGCGGCGTCGCCGCGCTGGCCTTCACCGTGGACCTGCCGCCTGGCTCCTTGGAGAAGGCCCCGGACTCAGCGGCCGGTTTCCGGAGCCGCCTGCTGCACCTGGGCGCGGGACAGCGCCTCAGTGTCCACCTGCACGCGGAGGCCGAGGCGCGCCCTGCCTGGCAGCTCGCCCAGGGCGCCACACTCTTGGGCCTCTTTCGCGTGGCCACCGAGGCCCCAGATGGACACTCCTCGCCCTAGCCCGGGGAAGCCCGGCTGGGTGCCGCCTGGCTGCGCAGAGATGGGGCTCCTGCCTCCTTCTTTGGCCAGGGCCCCTGGTGCTGGGGCCAGTTGCTCTACCTCAGGGGGCTGGGGCAGGGGTCCGGGCTGCAGACCCCTCCTCCTCCTCCAGGATTTTCTCCACCCACTGCTGCCCTGAGTTGGACTTCGATATTTATACTGAGCATGAGCTCAGACAGTGTACTTTATTATATTAATCCATTGTACTGTATTTGTATTTATTTAGCGTCTGCTATGTGCCAGACCAACAATCGCGTCTTATTTATGTTAATGCGTGAGAAATAAAGACTCATTCTCGGAGCCCTTCCTGTCATTGCGGGCCAGTTGTTGGGGTCAGCCTAAGTTTGGACCACGCTTCATTTTCTCATCCAACTGCTGTTTATGGCACTACTTTAAGTGCTGAGAACTGAGGGCTCAGTGCTGTGAACCAGACAGACCCCAAACCCTAGCCCAGGGTGCAGTTGTGGCACTGCAGGTGAAGCCTGTTCCGGAGCCCCGGGTTCTCTGCTTCCAGTTCCAGCTCCCCGCTAATGTGCAGAATGGCCCCGCCTCCCGCAGGGGAGACCCGGATAGAGCTCCTGGCTCCTGGCTTCAGGCTGGGCCAGCTCTGGCTGTTGTGGGCATCTGGAGAGTGAATCAGTGGATGGAAGACCTCTCTCTCTCCCCTCCCCTCCTTGCTTTCCAAGTAGATGACTAAATAAACATAAGAAAAAAACCCCAGGCCTTGTAGAGTCTTGGTCCCTTATGTGGGTGTGAGTATCTATAACTTTACAATGAGTTTGTGCGACCTCACATTTACCAGGGTTTTTTCGGAGAGATGGAACCAGGAGGACACACTCCAAGATGTTCGTGGATAAATGGTGCAACACAATTTGAATCCAGGTATCTCCTTTCTCCCCATAGTTTGCATTTCCATAAACTTTTGGGAGACCCTTGTCATTGCTTGGTGATGAGTGGGAGGGGGTTTAGTTAGGAAGATGGGCTCAGGTTACTGGGGAGGCTAGGTCGTGCAAGAGGAGGGCACCTTCAGGGCGCAGGGCTCAGTCCACCCCAAAGGTCTCGGAACCGGCGACACTGATGACACAGATTCTCAGACCCTGGGCTGAGGACAAAGAGCCTGGAGTTTTCTGCAGAAGTAAAAATTTTTTCTTATTTCAGAGGTAGGGAGAGAGACAGAGATAGAGGATAGAGACAGAGAGAGATATTCTATCCACTGCAGTGCCAGGCTGAGGCTGGAGCTGGAACTGGGAGCTCCATCCGGGACTCCTGTATGGGTGCTGGGACCTTGAGCCGTCACTGCTGCCTCCCAGGGTGCATGGGACAGGGGCATCTTAACCTGAGCCTGGGGTTCTGACGTTGGACCCTGGAGGGAGGGAGGGAGTGGAAGTCAGGATTCCTCCGCCTGCAACAGTTCTCTGGCTGCAGGTACCACTTCCCCCACTCAGCCGGCTGGCCCTTGGGAAATGCCCATCACCCACCCATCCAGTAAGCCTGATGAGTCCCTAGGGGCTCCTGATGGTGACAGAGCCAGACAATAAAATATTGACAAAGGTCATGGCGAGCGTTCACTTTGTAGCAGGCAGAGTTATCTTTGAGACCCATAACCGGCTCTCATCTTGGGATTTTATTATTTCCATTCTACCAGTATCTGTGCCTGTGTTTGGAGTCATTTACTCCAGTTGCGCCCGTGTGGTGGAAATATTGCGTAATGGCTTTCCACCACCCGTCTCTTTCCAACTGCGTTGCGCCTTGAGCCGCCACCCAGAGAGCAACTTCACCAGGGGCATCTGCAAGTGTTCCAGGTCTGTTGTGTGTTAATTGCCAGACTTAAGAAAGTGACAGAGAAAATGGTAACTTGGAGATTAAACTTGAACGTGGACCTTGTGACCACCATCAAGTTGAGCTGCTACGGGGCGCTAATGGTTTAGCTTAGTGGTTAAGACACTGATAAGACATCCTGGGCCCAATACCCGTCTCCAGCCCCCGAGTCCAGCTTCCTGCTAAAATGAAACCCTTGGAGGCAGCAGGTCGGGTCCCTGCCACTCACACAGGAGACCTGGATCGAGTTCCCGGCTCCCAGCTTTGACCTGGTCCTGGCAGTCGCAGGCATTTGGAGAACAAGCCTGCAGCAGACAAGAGCTCTCACTGTCTGTCTCTGCCTCTCTGCCTTTCAAATAAATCAATAAAAAACCTGACAAGTTAACCCAGGGGCCAGCATTGTGGTGTAGTGGGTTAAGCTGCTGTGATGCTGGCATCCCTATTACAGCACCAGTTCAAGTCCCTGCTGCTCCACTTCTGATCCAGTTCCCTGCTAATGTGCCTGGGAAGGCAGCGGAAGACAGCCCAAGTGACGGAAGACGGCCCCTGCACCCACGAGAGAGACCAGGATGGAGCTCCTGGCTCTTGGTTTTGGCCTGGCCCAGCCCTGACCATCGTGGTCATCTGGGGAGTGAACCAGGGGATAGAAGACCTCTCTCTGTCTCTCTTTGTCTCTTCCCCCCCTCTCTGTCACTCTGCCTTTCAAGTAAATAAGTCTTTAAAACAGTTCATCTACAATGTGTATTTTTTTTTATTTTTTTCATTTATTTATTTATTTTTTGACAGGCAGAGTGGACAGTGAGAGAGAGAGACATAGAGAAAGGTCTTCCTTTGCCGTTGGTTCACCCTCCAATGGCCGCCGCGGCCGGCGCGCCGATCCGATGGCAGGAGCCAGGAGCCAGGTGCTTTTCCTGGTCTCCCATGGGGTGCAGGGCCCAAGCACCTGGGCCATCCTCCACTGCACTCCCTGGCCACAGCAGAGGGCTGGCCTGGAAGAGGGGCAACCGGGACAGAATCCGGCGCCCCGACCGGGACTAGAACCCGCTGTGCCGGCGCCACTAGGCGGAGGATTAGCCTAGTGAGCCACGGCGCCGGCCTACAATGTGTATTTTGAAGAATCATACATTGATTTAAACTGTTTTCTTTTTTGCACCAAATAAACTTATCTTTTTTTATTCTGTTTTCCATAGACTATTTGAAATCCGGGCCAGCGCCGTGGCTCAATAGGCTAATCCTCCGCCTTGCGGCGCCGGCACACCGGGTTCTAGTTCTGGTCGGGGCGCCAGATTCTGTCCCCGGTTGCCCCTCTTCCAGGCCAGCTCTCTGCTGTGGCCAGGGAGTGCAGTGGAGGATGGCCCAAGTGCTTGGGCCCTGCACCCCATGGGAGACCAGGAGAAGCACCTGGCTCCTGGCTTTGGATCAGCGCAGTGCGCCGGCCACAGCGCGCCAGCCGTGGTGACCATTGGAGGGTGAACCAACGGCAAAAGGAAGATCATTCTCTCTCTCTCTCTCTCTCACTATCCACTCTGCCTGTCAAAAAAAAAAAAATCCCCTTGCATAGGAAGGCTGGAGAAGCAAGGTGTTTGGCTGGTTCAATAGGACTGATGGTGATTGATTTATGGATCCCAGCATCTTGGGGGTGTGTTGGGATTTCCAACATCTTTGAGGTGCCTTCATCCCAGTAACCACCAGAGAGTGAGTTCTGTAGTTATGCGAGTTCTTTGGGATGTAAGCTTAAATATTTTTTATTTATTTGAGAGGTAGAGTTAAAAGACAGAATGGTCTTCCATCCGCTGGTTCACTCCCCAAACGGAGCTGAGCCAAACCAAAGCCAGGAGCTTCTTCCGGGTCTCCCACATGGGTGCAGAGGCCCAAGCACTTGGGCCATCTTCCACTGCTTTCTCAGGCCATAAGCAGGGAGCTGGGTCAGAAGTGGAGCAGCCGGGACTTGAACCAGTGCCCATAAGGGATGCCAGCGCTGCAGGTGGAGACAGTCTGCTACACCACAGTGCTGGCAAACTGGGATGTGAGTTTGCACACTGTTGGTATATTTATATAATGCAACTTTGGGACCAAGGATCAATCTTTGAAAAGCCATTAAAGATGTAGATGAAAGGAGAGCGTAAGATCAAGTGCCAAGAACTCTAACCTGTGAGGGTTATGTCGAAAAGTTCATGGGAAATGGGTTTATGTTGGTGCAGACAATGTTGAAATGCATGCAAATTCATTCAAAATTGTTCACGGAAAATGTGCATCACGAGCAAACTCTTCATGGATTTCAAAACTGTTTGGCACCGAAATAACTTACTT